CCTAGTTGGGGTACAGGTACGGCAGATAGTGTAGAACCTTCGGGCAGACTACTTAAATTAGGCACTCAAAAGGTGCACATGTGGCTATATATACTCTTGTTGTAACTAATATGTTATATATCTATTTAATAAAAAGTTCTCAGGCCATAAAGGTTATCTTAACACTGAAAAAATAAAAAAATACTTTAATATTATTGGCTATTTGATTATATAAGTATATATAGGATGTGATAAAATGGGAACCCCCTCCCCTCTAAAAATTTTCTTTGATTTTTGACCTTAATGTAAGAATTTTTGACATATAATTTAAGTTATAAGACAGTTTTTAATGTTATATATATATATAATTTTCTTACTTATATTATGTATATGTAATTTAATACCATGCCAGGGGTGGCATTTTGGCATGAATTTAAGTAGTTGGCATGCCATATGGCACATTAAATTTTTGCTATGCCAGGTACAGATGCATCAAAAATAGAACAGTTAATATATCAAAAACATAGCTTTTGTATCACTTTGAGTAGACACTAAAGTAAGGTGACTAGTACAGTTAAAAAATTTGACATGCTAGTTGGCATGCCATTAGCTAAAATTTATACCATGCTCACATTATAGGCATGCCACAATACATTTTATATGAATATTACCAAAATATTTATTAAATATTACAATATTATTTTTTGTTAGCTAATCAATTTATTTAATAAATTTAAAATATAATTTTACCAATAATAGCATGCCTGATAGTAGAGTAGCGATCCGTAGTTTTAAAATCCTAACTATCCAAATAATTATCTGATCCTATGCGGATATATGAATAAAATTATCTAAAAAGTAATTATGCTCAGATAGACTTTGATTATTCGTCAGATCATATGATTATCCATTTTATTATTAATCAGTAGTGGCGTAAGCCCTATACCGTAATTTATTATGACAAATTACCTCATAGCACCCACACCACAATTAATCAGTTGACTATAATTAATGAATTGATATTTTCCCTTATTGTTATTATCAATATTCAATATTTTCATTATCGCTTTCATTATCAATACTTTTATTATTTTTCATTATTAATACCTTCGTTGAAAAATGTCTTTTTCTAATAAAAGACGAAGTATAGTTGATTCAAACATTTTTGATTCTAATGAAATTGACGAAATTGATGAAATTTCTAAGGAAGAGATTATTTATTTGGATTTGTCAAAAAAGACTAGCTGGGTGTGGACATTTTATCGACAGGAACTTCGTAAACAGAAGGGTAAATGGATAAAATATTCAATATGCAAAATCGAAGTATTAAATAGTAGAGAATATGGAAGAGTCTACAAGACTAGATCCTCTACCGGTAATCTTATTGGACATTTAAGTGCTGAACATGGTGTAACAAAATCCGATCAAAGTCCCAAAAAGGTATATTTAACTAAGTTATATTATACAAATTTTTTATACTAATATTAATATACTTTAGATATACTCTTCAAGATCTCGACCCTATGATGAAAAGCAACAAAAAGAATTGTAACAATTGCTAGTTGATTGGCTTATAGCAGACTCACATCCTTTAATTATTGTTCAAAGTGAATTTTTTCGTCGATTTATAAATGAGCTTAATCCAGTATTTTTAATTCCTGATATTAAATTAATTAAACAAATTATTCACTAAGCTTATAATCATTCAGTTCCTATTTTACAAGAATCTATTAAATTAAATGCATTTAAAGTTTCACTTACAATGGATTTATGGACAGCCAAAAATCGACAAGATTATCTTGGAATCACATGCTCATATATTGATTGTCAATTTAAATTAAAGGAAATAACTCTTGCAATTCAATATGTTTGTTATCCTCATACAGCTATTCATATTTGTGAAATGGTAGAAAAAATTCTTAAATACTGGGATCTTAATAAAAAAGTACATTCTATAACAACTAATATTAGTTTGAATATGAAAAAAGCAGTAAAAAAAATAAATAAGGTCACGTGGCAACGATGTAGTTTACATACTTTGCAATTAATAATAGGAAAAGCATTACTACCAGTAGAATCTTTAATTGCTCATGCAAAATGATTGATTGATTTCTTTTTACACCCTAAACAATCTAAACAATTAAAAGAGATTCAGAAAAAAAATTCAGATCTAAAGCATGTGAATGCCAGAGAAACAACTGACTATTTAGTTTATTGTATTTCAGATTGTAGAACTCGCTGGAATAGCTTTTATCTGGCTTGGATTCGATTAGTTCAAATTAAAGTTTATATTGAACTTCTTATCATTTATCTTGCAACTCATGAAAATTCTGAAAAGCATAAAGATAGAAGAAGATTGTGAGCAATTAATTTAACAAATTCAGAATGGGAGTTATTACAAGAGCTTTTACAAGTTCTTGGACCTTTCGAAGAAGCAACAAGATATCTAGGTGCCTCTTTTTACACAACTCATAGTCTTATGCATCAAGTTGTAGAAGAGTTGAAAAATATTTTTAAACTGAATCAAATAAATGAGGATGAATCTCATAAAGATAATGATGAAGAATGTGATGCATTTGATGATTATGAAGAGGAAGAATTGCAAAATCAACAATCTCGAACTAAATTAAATACTCCAGTTAATACTATGGGCCTCTTAGAAGAAGTAAAATGTAATTTATATAAAACATTATGTTATTACTATCCCGATCCTACACCACATGAATTGATATCTGCATTATTGGACCCACGCCTTAAATCTCTTGACTATATGAATGATACAAATAAAATAGCAGCTAAAAATTTTCTTAAAGAATTGTATGATGATGAAAAAACTACGGAGGTTAATCAAAATGAGAGTGAACTCAATGATAATACTCATAACTTGAAAAAAAAAGTATCTGATGAATTTATAGTTACTGCAAATCCACTATATAAACCATAATTGCTAAAATTATTGGAAAAAGAAGATCATCCGGCAGCTAATGAAATTGAGGAATATATGAGGCAACCTGAAATAAGTCTTAAAAAAGACCCCTTGGTGTGGTGGGACTTGCATTCAAAAAAATTTCCAGTACTATCTAAATTAGCCAAAATTTATTTGGCTGTTCCGGCTACATCCACCCAAGTGAACGTTTATTCAGTGATGCTGGTAACTTAATGACATCAAAGAGAACTCGCATTTCTCCAGAACTGTTTAAACGAATGATGTTTCTAAAGAGGAATATTGATCAATATCAGAACATTCATCCCGAATAATATGCTGATTAATATAAATTTATACAAATAATGTAAACTTAAATATACTTGTTATAAAGATAGAATTATCATTGCAAAAACATATTATTTGTTATAGCGATAAAATTATTGCAAAAGACATATATTATTTGTTACTATAGCGATAGAATTATCATTTCAAAAACATCATTTGTTATTATAGCGATAGAAATAGCATTGCAAAAATATATAATTATTTGTTATTATAGCGATAGAAGTATCATTGCAAAAATATATAATTATTTGCTATTATTAATGATAGAATTATCATTGCGAAAAATACATATATAATTATTTGTTATTATAACATAAATATTATTGCAAAAAATATATATTGTTCTTTACGTTATATAGTCGGATATAAAGATATCTGTAAAAAGGATAACGGATAATCTAATATCAGATTCGGATATATCCGTTTAAATTATATCTGTATCAGATAGGATATAGTTATCCGGATCGCTACTCTACCTGATAGGTTGGCATACCATGGACATACCATGACCTCAAGGGTAGTATGCCAGTCACCCTACACTAAGGGTCCGTCGCTACGCTCCGGACAATTATATTTGGTTGTGTAACCCTTTTTAAAGTCTGCGAATAAGGATTTAGTTTTCTGTAATACGTATATAGTTATTGAATGCAGAGAAGACAATAACTACTTTTTCAGCATAAATCATGTGGAAAGTGTTGTACGCAGGGCTAAAATGACATATAGTAAATTCCAGTCATCCAAAATGTCGTTTTTGATCTATCTAAATATTAAAACAATATATAGCATTAAATATATAGCTAATATAATTTCTTATTTCTTATTGCTATTGTTCTTTGATCGCAACAATTATGCATCAAGAACGACACCTTGGATGACTGGAATTTATTACAATATGTTGTTTTAGCCCTGGTTGTACGGTAAAGCTGATTATATAATTATAAGTAAATGAATATCAAAAAATACAAATAATAACTTATGTAATGACTTTCGACTGCCCATTGACAACGAACCTTCACGATGTTATGTGAACCTGACGAAACAATGTTGGAATAAAGATCCAGAAAACGGTCATCAGAAGAACTCAGAAGTTTTTAAAAATGGCGAGAAGATTATCAAATTTTAACGGAACTAAAAATAGCTAAGCATATCAGAAACTTTGACATAAATGCAAATAGAGGCAGCAAATTAATTAGTTTATATAATCGAAATCAAAATCGCATTTAATCTCGGAGCTGTGATCAATATTTTATAATCGACCCTTAAGATAATATTGTTAAAAAATAAAAATAAAGTGAAAATTAGCATCATACATTCTCTAAATGAAATTTAAATATCTTTTATCAAGAGACTAAAAAAAAAGCCTCTAAACAATGATTGAGTTTAGGGTTGCGATCCAAACTCTTTTTTTTTAGCTACAGCATTTCTACTTAGTTTGAAAACTATCAATTCATTAAATAGAATAAATTATAGTTATTCAACATACCATACAATAACTATCTTATTGTACGGTGTCTGACGTAAAAATCCCGTGCCAATAAGTAAATGAAAAAAGCACGGGTTGTCACATAAGACCCGTACAATAATCTTTAAATTATTCAACAAATCTGACTTTTAATCAGGTATATACATGTTTAAAGATTGATAATATAAAGATCGAATCCAATTCAAGAACCATAGATGCCAATAATAACACGTAAAAAATTTTGAGTGTTGCCAGGTAATAAGCAAGCAGAATTCATATTCATCGTTAAAACTTAGGAAGAAACTGATTGTAGATAATATCAGGAACGAAGTGCAACGAAGAATATGGTTATATTTAAACGCATCTGATTAGACAAATCATTCTTATAATTTCACCTTGAGATTTCTATATAAAATCGAAGTATTCGATGTATGCATGAGTTTAAATGATGTAGTAAGAAAATGCAATGAAATGTGTGATCAAAGAAACATATTTCTATAATACCATGATGATATGTTAAATTTCCTCGTCTAGTCATTGTTTTAAATATAAAAACTATTTAAGCTTTTTAAATTTAAATTTATGATATGTGCAAGTTATACTTATTCTACCCGTATTATCAATTTATGTATTATATGTATCGCACTAGCATAGACATATTTTTGTTTTATTTTACTTGATTTGTGCATACAGGCATAAAAAATGAAAAATTGGTATAATGGCTTATTCTATCAATATCGTAACGGTAAAATTATACACGTCACTCTGGTTATACTGACATCCGAATATAACGACATCATAGTAAAATCTTTCTATATCAACCTTTTTTTTCAAAAATTTTCAAAATTTTAATATAAAATATTGGTATAACTCACTGTATCACATTTAAAATTTTTTTTGCTAATGAAGAAAATTTGTGTTAGAAACGGAGTGTCGAAGTGTTGATTATATGAAGAGTATGCAAAGCGTGACTTATAGGTAAATCGCGTTTTGATGTCTAAATTTCGTGATATTATTGGCCAAGGTGCCGGACTTTAAACGATCGGATGAGTCCCAAACCCGATTTTACATGTAAAAAATTTGGGATTTCTTGCCGTAAGAATGCTTGACATTATGGCAAATTAGAGGAATTTTGCGAAACTAAAACCCAAACTAGTAGGTTTGGGTCGCAACCCTAATTGAGTCTTGAAAACGAATTCGGTTTAGATCTTTAGACAGGTTGACAATTCAATCTATATTAAATGTTAAATGTATAACAAAAAGAATCTTAGTATTGAAAATGCCAACCAATCAAATTTCGAGTTTGATTTCGTCGATAGCCTCAAAACGCCATTTTTAAATAAGATACTTCAGGCGTAAAAGGAAAAAAAATAGATAGTACGTATAAAAAATATGAAATAACAAAAATTTTTATTATAATTAATTAAGAAAACTGGTTTTTTTTTAAAAAAAACTATTTTTTAAAAGAAGCTACGAAGTAGCTTAGACATAATTTTGAAACTTTATATCATCTTTACTAAGATATACTGTATAAAAAATTAAGAATTATATAGAAGTTGTCCTCAGATTAAAGTACATAGAGATAGATCCGTAGCTTTAAAATCCTTACTATATACCTAATAATATATACTAGACTAATGCTGTAATGCGTGTCCGGAAAATCTCTGCGTTTTAGTGTCAAGTGATACAAAAATTCCATTTTATGTAATATATACAATGCATTAACCTAGTCAATACCACTTCTTTTACAAAATAATGTCAGTATGGCAAAGAATGATAAAACAGTATTCGTCACTGTTGGATCAACAGGATTTGATCAAATAATTAGTCTTTTAATATCATCACCAAGTCTACAAACCTTAAAGTCCCTAGGGTATACAAAATTAAACATACAATATGGGAAAAGCCGTGAAGCCTATAATGAGGCAATGAAAATAACTAATGTTCAAAATGAAATACAAGTTATCGGATACGATTATAAATCATCAGTGAATCAAGATATGCTAGAGTCTGATTTGATAATAAGTCATGCTGGTATATAGTTTCGTTTCATTTCTCAAATTAAATATCAATAAATGATAAATTGTGTAAAAATAATCAGGGTCGGGATCAATCTTGGAATCACTCCGATTAAATAAACCTTTGATAGTAGTTATAAATGAAAATTTAATGAATAATCACCAAGCAGAGCTCGCCGTGGAACTTGGAAATAAAGGATATCTTGTCTATAGTTCAACCAGGTTTTTGTTCCATGACCGTCTTTAATGAATTTGAATTTTCAAAGCAATTAATCCATACTAAATCTTTTTTTTTATAGTAATTTATTAGAAATTTTAAAATCTAAAACTTACGAGAAATTGATTAATTTTCCGGAATCTGATGCAACAATTTTTGCTAATATTTTGAACGAGGAGATGGGTGTATGATTGCATCTCCCTTAATACAAAACAAAAGCCATTATAAAGCAGTAACATGTCTTTGTCATTATATTGAATATGAAAATAAATAATAAGTATTAATCTTGACTATCATGATCACGTAATAGAATAGTCTATTAACAAAGTCGCAATCGTTGATTATTCACTACACCATGTTTTGTAAAAGTTGAGGCAGAGCCTAGTTTCGAGGTAATTTCATCGGTAAAATATAAGACTTGCACAAATTTCAGACTTCAAAAAATGGAAAAATGAAATTAGTTTATTTCTATTTTTTTATACAAAGTCATATTCACTTAGTGTCATTTATTAAATTATCGTTATTATTTGAGGGTAAATTATTTAAAAGCTTATGTGTTATGATATGCACTAGGCCTATGTGATATTATATCCTAAGGCATTTTTCGTCAGTGATAGATGAATGTGAAAATCGCCAATTATATGGGCAGACACTATCAGTCTAACGACTTTATTTTCTATTAAACCGTATGAGCCGTAAAATACGTGTATCGGTATTTATGTTTGCGTTAAGCCACCTTTGAACTTTTGTGCAAGATTACAAAATATATAAGCATTGAACATTAATGCATATAAGAACTTTATCATTCATAGAGTATTAAATTCTTCTCGAAAAAGTTTTTTTTTATATAACTAAAGTGTTTTAGAGATCAATCATTTCTTGGAACAGCCATTAATGCCAAATTTTCTAAAGAAGTTGATGATTCTACATAATAAATCAATTCTACATCAAAACCACTTTCCTGTAAATATTTGAAACGACCGTAATCTATTATACGTTTACATTTATAACCTAGAGCTTCTCTTGATGAATGATCCAGACCTGAATAATGTATACTATAATTTGAGAGAAATTAGAAATTATTTAATGTTTTAAATGTTACAATAATATAATTATTTACTTACTTATCATCATCATCGTCCGGTTCAGCTGAATTATCACAAGTGTGATCATCATCATCATCACTGTGTTTGTCATTATATTTGTATCTTTGCCCACAAATAGCCCAACTACTCATAGTACATATTCTCTTAAAATCATTATTTGTAATTCCAATATCTTCAAGATACTGATGGTTAGGATACATATGATACTGACATAATTGGTGACAACACAATGCAATAATTATTCCAATGATTGAGTTCCTAAGGAAATTAATTGATGATGAATGCAACAAGACTTAGTTACAACTAAACGTTCGTTTATATTTCTAAGAAATTGACATTTATCATATCACATACTCATTTTTATTCAACTTGGAATAATTAACTAGTGATTTTAAAGTAACATCAGTAGCAGATCCACATAGGTGCTTTGAATACGCTATAATTTTTTTATTCTTGATAAAATCAAGTTTTGATAAATCTAAATCTTTAATATCCATTCCAATACGTAATACGGGCAATTTCGATGATCCAGTTTCTCTGATCCCTCCATCAAACTAAAAATGTTTTCCAAAAATAATTGGGTTTATATTTAAGACGTCACCTGTTAAAACAAATTCGTTAAAAAGATATATATTATATCATACCTTACCACGGGTATTTTTTCTATCGATTAAAAGGAAGCTAACACTGTTGCTTTCATCTTTAATAGCAAGTTTTGTGAAATATGATAATTCACCTTAATGAAACAGATTCAATACAGTATATAAATAAAGTAGACTAATAAGTTGTTAATAAAGACCTTCAACGAAGTGAATGTTTATACGCTCACCCTTGCCACAACCGAATTCAATGAAACATCCATCTGGCTGTAATAATTTCAGCCTTGCCATATGACCTAAAAGTGATGCCTTTTCATAAAGAATTATAATCAGTATTGAAAGAAATAAAAATAGATAGATAGTATACCTATTTTTTATATTAATTTACCTGCTGATCAACATGCTTACTATTTATTATGATTTCTCTTTAAGATAATATATACATAAAAATATTATTTAGTAACATAATTGAGGTTCAAAAAATGAATTTGTTCATGTATCAGGAATTCATTACTTTTTTCTTTCCTTTACAACTTCATGATCCAATATTAAAGTCTCAAAATTTTTAGGAACAAAATTTTGATACCAATAATTTACATTATCAATTAATGAATCTAAAGCTTCTTTAGATAATTCTGAAAGCGTAATTTTTTCCTCTGTCACAAGATCGGATGATGGGGGCAGTGTGCAATTAACATTAAGAGAAAAATAAGGTGGGTTTGGTTTCGGACGTGAATTACATTTTTGTGCAAGATGTTTTTCGAGTTCATCTTTGTACACAGTGCTAATAATTATAATAAAGTAATTAAAAGGTAAAGTTAAAATATATATATATATACATAAACATGTTATGCTATTATTTTTAGGACACTAACTGAGATGTATCATATGGACATGGGATACGCTCTCTTTGAGTTTGATTCGGATCACTTGCTAAATGTTCTCCACAATAATTGTTACCAATTTTTGTGGGAAGATGACAGTATCGCCTTTATAAGTATCATCAATATGTTAATTTTAGACCCATAGATATGTTATACATCGATCATTCACTAAATTTATTAACCTGCCTTTTACGCTTTACCCAAAAATGACATTGGCGTGGCTGACCGAGAGTTGAAAATAATGTTAATAATTTAGATAGATAATAATTTTAAGAAAAAAAAAACAATTAATATTAATGAAAAACATTGAGCATTACGTTATCTGGAGGTGATGGTAATGTCTCTTCTTCTTTCTTTAAACGTTTTTGTTTTTGTTCTTTTGGCATTTAGTCTATGTACAACTACATCAAAAATTTTTCTGGTAATACAGAATCTCGATGACACGTTACTAGGTTCGTGTAACCAATTATACATATACATAGTGTTAAATACGTATATACATAACGAATATACTTGTCATTTCATTAAGTATTAATTTTTTGATAATGTTCACTGTAAAGAACGCAAAAGAGCAACTTCTTTCCCAGGGAGATTCGTCAACTCTGACGAGCCCTGAGGAATCATTTTCTATTATAGACCAACGTCATTATACTCCTTCGACACGTGTTCTAAATGCACATACGCCTTTACTAGACGAACGTGAAGATCTGGAATTTACTCCCACTTGGACTATCGAGCTACCACAAGCTACAACCTCAAATTTATTACAGCCACCAGTGAAAGTAGAAGCAGAGGTAGAGAAACCTTCTCCGGCACTGTATTTGAAATTTGAAAAACACGAAGTAGAACATTTTAGTTCTTTACCTACAGAAGTCGAAGAATTGATGCGTTCTGCTGGTGGGTTTGGCTTTTTTTGTACGCGTAGCGTACTTCAAAGTACAATAAGGAGTGTGATACTGGTGTTTCTAATCGTTTGAGAGATATTTAGCTGATTTATCAAGTGAGCATATTTCCTTACAGAAGTATATGACGGTATATTGAGCTGTACTACTGGTTATGCTGCAGTGGTGACTAGCTCATGCTGCTACGTTTGGGACTACAAAAAAGATCACGATAAAGTTTGTAATCTATTTTTTTTTTTTGATTTAAAAAAATATTCAAAATATAAAATTAGTTAACAGATTTTGCAATTTTCTTTTTGCAGCAACCTCTTAAGCGGCCTGACACTGTCTATAAGTTTCAAATGCCTTCTTGTGATGGTGAACTGATCGATTCAGATAAACTTCCTCTGGTATGCTTAATTCCCTCAGCCGAAGGTTCAAAACCGGGGCTACTGGCGTGCACACCTAAAGGAGAGTTTCGTTATTGGGAAGATATATCGTATGCCATGACAGAGGCTGAACGTTACAAGGGGTTAAAATTATATCTTCAAGATGATGATCAAGGGATATATCTAGCATGTCATGAAGTATGTTAATTTTTCATATATTTAATATAACTTATTTAAATTAGAGTTTAAATTCTCTATTGGTTAGACAAAGGGATCATCTCGTGAAAATTGTGTAATAATATTTGGTACAGAACATGTGGCTTTATACCGCATTCATGTTTGCCAACCGGATGGCAAACAAACACTTATTTCTTCTTCAATTTCTCGTCCTGGAGGATTTATCGGGCAATTAAGCTCGTATCTTTGGCAAAGTGGAAAATTTGACGATGGAGGGATTGTTTCAACAACTTTAGGTGCTAAATTGGGTAAAAATTATTCAAGGTATTAATATATATTCATATTTTAATTATTAATATTGTTTATACGTTCTTACTCTTATTTAATCATAAACATTGCAAAATTTGATATGAGCAGTGAGTTATTTGTCTTGTTGGAAAAATCATTAGAAAAATGGATTCTTCCGGGAGCACGTATTGCACCAAAGGTAGTTTTGCAGTTTACAATCAAATTTAATCTGACTTATCCATTGACGGTCGCTCAGTGTTTATCTTAACATTTCCTTTTTATATCATAATTTTATAGTATAAATTCTGTCAAGATATTCATAGCATTATTGCCCAGGAGGTTTATATTAGTGATGGTATTTTCGAATCAAATCCATTAGATGTTGAACTATTAGACATTGAATACGCAAAGTAAATAAACTGAATAAAATAGCATGAAAAAATTGTTATTTAATGGCAAATATTCTAACTTTCTAAATATCGGTAGAAATGGCGAATTGGTAATTCTTGTGTCCCATCTTCCTAGCTCAAACCAATCCGAGTCCGGCCAGAATAAAGATTTAACATATTTCTTGGTAGTATTGAACGGGATTGATCAAGAATCAAATAGTGGGCAATATAATGTCATTAAATGTCATCCATTAAGAGTCCATAGTGTAAGTTTCTATCTGGTCTCATTTTAAAACTATAGTCATTATCTTTTGAAATTTATAAATCATCCATTATATCATCTCTTAGAATGTATCACTTGGACCAAAAGCGAATTTAGTTATGCCTAATGGTGGACCTGGTGCTTTTGTGGTTTTCCCTCAAGCTATAATTGTTACAACTATTTTGAAAGGTTTGTATCTGAAAAGTTGCCAATAAAATCCAAGGAAGCTTACTATAATGTTTGCTTGGTTTTTTATTGATTGCTTGTACTATTATTATTTTTATAATATGTTACACCTTTTATTTATACGGAGCGATTTGGAAGTCAAATATATCTATCAAGAGTATAGAGTCAGTCATTGATATGACATGCAAATATCTTAAGAGCTACTATTCAATAGACTATGAAGATAATATAAAAGATATGAAAAGAAAATTATATTATTTTAAACTTGTCAAGATATTTCACATGTAATAAATGGAAGGTTTTTACTCTTGACTGATGGGTTTAACTTCCAAAAATTTATATATGTAATATACATGATTATAATAATATCATCAAATTTTTGATACATTAGATGTAAACTATACAAATATCATAACTATGTGTGACCCAATGTATGATGTAATAATTGGATTTTGTGCTGAGGGATCAAAGTCATGGCATCCTAGGGATACTATTGATGATATTAGTGAAATGCACATTTTAACAACCAAAACTGGTGTCATGAGTTGTCGTCTAAATGTTTCAGAAATAATTGAGGAAAATGCGTCCTTACAGTAAGAATTATTTATATTATTTAGTGATTTATTATTTTGAGCTTAGCTTTAATTTGCAATGTGATCATTAGATCTCCTGAACAAATGGATATTGAAGATTCTCAGGTATTTAATAGAGCAGTAAGCCCTACAATATTAAGATGGTTTTATTATAACTCTTTAATTTCTATTATAGGCTAAGAGAAATCGAGAATTAAAATTTACAATTGAGCAGGCAATTTTTCGTAAAAATGACTCCAATGTAAATTTTCTAGATATACATATCTTTCTATTTTTTGTTCTAGGGTTAAAACTTTTAAAATTATTCTTAGGTCCCTGTTTTCTGCACTTTACCACCAGATTTTAAAGGCGACATCAATAAAGTAGTTCTCGAAATTAGTGATGAAATATTAGATTCTCGTAATTATTTTTTATTTTAATTTAGATTTTTTTCGAATAATTATGCATTACTAATAGTAAGTATAATTTCTTATTACAGGATCACAATATTTAGATGAATCAATTGATCTCAAGTCACAATTGCATGAGAGATATAATAAAATGGCTTCGCTTATTCAGTTCATTCACAACAGTAAGGCTGTTGACAAGGTAAAAACCTTATGCAAAAAAGAAATACATTCAGACCTCTTTATAATCGTACCTAATATAGTCACAATCTTGACTACAAGTCTTATAATAACTAAACCATTGTTTTATAACCTGGGATTATAAGGTCTGAATGTATGCATTAAAATATTTTTTCCCTTTTAAATTTCAGTCTATGGATCTTTAAAACGTTATGTTGTAATTCTAGCTACACCCATCCACTCGACAGCGGTTGTTTTGGAATGCGGAAAAGATGGCTTGTGTTAAAAGGTTATGGAGTCATCACAATGCATCTTATTTGTAAGTGATAAATATCAATAATATTTACGCATTATACTTTAATTTATTGATTTTTTGACAAATAAATTGAAATAGCACTACACAGGACGGGGCTGAGGGACTTTGTCGAAAATTATTAAATAGTGCGATACATGAATATTTTCAAGACCGTAATTTTCAACCCTCCCAGAATGAAGACTTAGCTAGGTTTTTTTATCGATTTCGCGTATGCATTATTATTATTATTATTATTAACTTATCTTTTTGGTAATTTTGAATTACGTAATTAATCATTTTATTTATTTCAGGTTCGAGATCTTGGTACTATCTTCACTTACATTCAACGTGTAATAGAGAATTATATGGAAATTGATGACCGTCATATGCTGGTTTTTGAGGCAAATACCATTATATTGGTAGGACTAAAAATTCTTATCCTTAATGTCAGCATTAATGTAGCGTGATTTATTATTAATTTTATTATACACATTGCTTATAGCTTGCTTTTGAGGCGGCCTTCGATTTTAGAAGAATGAATAAAGAATTATATGCAATTACGTCTAACGAATCAAAAGACTCTTGGACATGTCAGTTAATCTTTAATGATATTGTATTTATATTCAAATTTTTATTTACAAAGTCTTTATTACCTATTTATAGTTCAACCTGAGCTTTTGAAAGTTCTTCATCAACAGTTTGAGGATACTGATGAGGCTATTCGAAGCTTCACAGTTTTGCATTCTAGTCAGACAGCTAATGATTCCCTTCAATATATGAGTCAAGATGTTAATGATTATAACAAAATTCAAACGAAAGACACAAGAGTTGAAATGCTCAAAGATCAAATGGTTAATTTAGCGGATGTACTACTTGGAGTTACTACAGAGCGATTAATTTGGTAAAAGTTAATTCTAATTGAAATATATTACTTAGCAACTTAAGCTTTAACACGTTATTTCTATAGTGATGACGTCAGGACTAGAAGTAATGCACAGAATTATCGTGATAAGTGGTCAAACATTTTAAAAAAGCTGGGTAGGTTGTCAACTTTACATTTATAAAATTGTGACCTTAAACATCAATTTTAACAATGCCCAATGTCAGTCTCAATTGGTAGAGGTGATCGAGCTTTTTCTTTAAGTGAATCTTATGAAGATTATAAGACATTAGTCGATTTAATTATGGAATCTGGTGAAAATATTGATGATCACATAAAAATATTCATGGATAAATATCAAGAAAAGTTCGCCTTTAAATTATATGAATGGTATTTGGATGAAGGTATTTATGGCATGTTAAATCTCTGTTAAGTTATTTTTAGAAACTCATTTTATATATATATATATATATTAAGAACGATATGCAGATTTGTTAAGTCATCCGCATGTCTCTGAACATAAAGAATGGCTTCGAACGTTTCTAAATGAACGAAATTTAGGTGGAATATCTTGGATGCATGATATATACATGGATAATTACAATGATGCTTCAATCAAGTTGCGGTTATTAGCTCAAAATGAAAAGCGTGTTAGGAAGCGAAAGGTAAAAGCTTTGCTTTTTTTAACTTCGCCATTATAACTTTTCAAAATAAAATAACTATTTATTAAATCTTAATAATCTTTCAGACTTTTCTTAGCATTAGTAAATTAACTTTCTTGGCTGGTCTAAGTGATGAAATGGACACACAAAATGAGGATGTACAATGCAATCTTGAAGGCAAGTATAACTGTTTAGTTTCTACTTTTTTTTAAATTATTTACTTATTTTTTTATTTTTTTAGTAATTGAAAATGGATTTGAACTAATTGACGCATATAGCGTACTTCAAGATCAATTCGTTGAAATTATTACTTCAGAGGATCAAACAGCTGTAGATGAACATAAACAAGTAGATGTGATTGTGGAAAAGGCTGCTAAAAATATCAAACAATACCGGCCAATGCATGCAAAGGTAATTTGTTGACCTGGCATTTAGTTTATAAATTCAGTGAATTTAAATAGAATTTAAATTGTGATTTCTAGGTGTTTGCACAATGTGTGCCATATATTTTGAACGGTGAAATGCTTCCGACAGAAGGATTGATTGAAGTATTGACGCTCAAAGACAAGAAAGAGAAAGATGATTTTCCATTTACTTTACAGTTTGCGTTAAATGATGACAAGGTCGGTTAACTCATTGTCAAATTGCATTGTTAATAAAAGCCTCTCACACGTAGTTTAACCTTTGATCATAGCTGCCTGATGATCGTCGTCGCGCAATATTGCAAACCATATGGAGAAGAATATACATAACTGATAGGTAGGTATGCACATTCGTTAAAGTTTCTATAACATTTTTTGACACTTTATTTGAATTTCTATAGGTGGGATTGCATATCAAATACTAATGATATGTCTGATGAAGATGTGAACGAACAGATTAAGGGGACTGCAGTATATCATACTTTGGATATTGTTAGTCAAACTGCTGGTATGTTTATCATTGATATTGTTAATTTGTTAAGATAATTCACACACATTAATCATTTTTATTGTTTACGATCAATCCATTATTATTTAATATTAGATATCCCATTAGTTCAATGGTTTTGTCCACCTACCGAAGCATTTTTTGCAAGTACCGAAGAACAGCTTCGTAGACGATTTCATGAATTCAATGAAGAAGAGTTAGCAGGATTGATTGAGGACTATAAAAAGGAAAATACAGCATTAGAGAAGGTTATTCAAGAGTTTAATTTAGTGATGCATGTAGAACATGCATTAAAGTTACTAGATTTGAAATCCGCATTAGATTCTCCAGAGTAGTGGTTGGACCCGTCCGAAAATCATGACCCGGGTAACCCGCGGGTCACCTGGGCGGATAAATGATAAAATAAAAACCAATTCTTATAAAATTCTATCTTTCTTCTATAATTATAATTATAATATTGATAAAATATTTGATGAATTGCACAAGAACTAACTATACTAGAACTGATTCATAACATGCCAGTATAATATAATACATTCCTAACTCTTTTTAAACAACTCAAGCGCCTAGTTACATTACCTAATTTTTCATATCAGATATTTTTCTCTTTCTGCATATACTGTAACCAAATTATCATCTCATGAATATCATTATATGAAAGAATTTTAATTTAAAACTCAATTATAATCTATGATACTATTTAAAAAAATTGATATGTCGACATTGAAAAATGACGCGGAACACAGCCACAATGCACATAAAATTTAAGCCATCGCAGAAGAATAATGGCCTAGCTCAATTAATATCAATTCATCTTAATAAATCCTTAACGCTTATACAAAAAAAAAAAAAAATTGACATTTAAACCTAATTTTTTTATAAAAAAATTCTTTATTTTTATTTATTAAAATTAATTTAAATTAAGAAACCATCCTCTGCGACCTAATTAAAAATGCTCCCCGTGAAATTTTACTAATAGAAACTTTCTTTCTAACTCTAACCCAGTCCCAAACTACTTGAATTCTCAGTAAAAATTACAGGGGGGAACAATTTTTGTGGGTGTGCTATCTAAGAAGTTAAGCAACATTGATCTCAACGTTAACCTAACGTTGTGCTAAAAAAACCAAAAGAATGCGAAGAAAGCGTCACCAAAAGAACGACAAAGAGACCACTAAAAGAATAACGAAAGAGCCACAAAGAAGTAACCAAAGAATACCAGAAAAGCACCGAAAAAATGACAAAAAATCCCGAAAAAGCGATGAAAAAGAGCACCAAAATAAGTGATAAAGGATCACTGATAAAGTGAGGAAAAAAGAAAAAGTGC